ACGTGGATGAACTCGGAGGACATTATGCTGAGTGAAATAAGTCAATCACAAAAGGATAAATATTGTATTAGTCCGTTATTGTAAAAGTCAAGGAAATGTTTATCTATGGAAGAAAATTTTCTCTGTTGGGTACCAGAAATGGGAGGGGAGGGGGGGGGGAATACTGTTAGATAGATAGAGATAAGTATTGATTTGGGTAAAGAGAAGGGCAGTGTACCAAATGTGAGTGATCAATATGGTGGTATTGAGGAAGAGAACGACATAGAGAGGTACATAGGAGACAGCAAAGATGAACCCTTCTGCACATACAGTACTGCATTGTCAGTGAAGGCAAACATGGGTATACAGGTGGATAGATGGGTGGACAGGCTAGACTAGTAGGTATGTCTATGAAGTGGGGAGTGTACCTGAGAACATGTATAGGGTTGACAGATAATGGTACTATAAGTTTATGTGTATGATCTTAATTCCCAAGTGTATAGTAGAGCTGACAAGGGGAAAGGTAGTAGTCACTGCTTGGCCACAGCCAGCTACCCAGAGGGACAGAGTAGTCGAACCTGTGGGCTCGGGACCATAGTCGCAGGGGACATCAAGCTCAATTGGCATAACATACTACACAAAATATTGTTCCACCTCCTACTGTGGTGAGTCTTGCCTGGGCTCTTAAAAGCTTGCAAGCTGCCATCTAGATGCAATGATGGGTCTCTCCTTGTCCAGAACAAAGAAGAATGAAGAAAACCAAAAATTCATGGAAACAATCAGTCCTAGCGACTGGTACACCATCCGATCTGAAGCCTATATGACTATGAGACCAGTAGAACTAGATGGTGCCTGGCTACCACTGTCAACCACTTGGAAGGGGATCTATGTAGGAGTTCCTGGATAGAGAGGGACAACAATGTGGAAGAAAACTCAAAATCATATGGAGGGGAAAAAAGAAGGGTGGAAACCATGTTTGCTGGTGGAACCACTGAGACTGTGGCCCCTAGCTGCCCTTCAAGTCTGGAACTGAACCCACACCTGTGGCTTCCAGCCAAACAAAAGACAGGCATATGAGTTGAACATTTACCTAAGGCAGATACACTCCTTGAACAGAACAATCATGGGAGAAAGAAGAGCTGCTTATGCACAGGGAGACAGCTCTGGGGGTGGGAACGCGTGGAGGGATGAACATAGGGAATAGGTAACTATGGGGAGGAAGTGGGAGGGGAGCTGTTGCATTGTGGTAAATTGTGGTTAATATCATGAGACAAAGTGTATGTGAACTGCAGTATGGAAAGTGAATTTGCTCTGTAAATTTTCACTCAAATCACAATAAAAAAAAAGTAATTACATGTGAACAGACTCAAAAACATACATTATACTGAAATATCTTTGAAGAGCAGAGGTTCTTAATTGTGCCATGGATCCTTTGGCAGTCTAGTGAAACCAAATTAAAGTTTTTAAATGCATAAAATAAAATGTGTAGGATTACAAAAGAACCAATTAAATATCATCAAAATGTTCTAAAAATTAAAAGTTGTAATATAGTAACAGGCCCTGTATTAAAGCATTAAATATAATAATAAAGTGGCATATCTTATAATGATCATAATTTTTAATTATGATAGACATAGATATTTGAAAAATCTGCAACAGTTGTAATGTGATTAACAAATCACATCTGATTTCTATTGGTGACAAAGCCATAGATCCTAACACTATGGCAATCCTGTTGATTAAAGTTGAAGAAAATGCTAAATTGAAGTTAAATATTGTTGTTTGTTGTTGTTATGTGCTGTCGAGTTGGACCTGACTCATAGCAACTCCTCCTTGGGTTTCCGAAGCAGTATCACTATGGAAGTAGACTGCCCACCATTCCTCCTGAGGAGTGGCTGCTGGGTTCGAACCGCCAGCCTTCTGTTTAGCAGTCAAGTGCCTTAGGCACTACGCTACCAGAGCTCCTTTAAGTTATATAGAGATGTGATTTTTTTCCCCCTCATTCAAGTTCATAGGCCCCAGGTTTAGAACCGCTATGTAAATGATTTTGTCAAAATATTATCCAAAAAAGGCATTCCTTTTGGCTTGGGAAGATCAGTATTGTGATATCTTGTATTGTTATCTTATTGTCTATGAAGGTATTATCCATGTTCTCTAGAGCTGGTTTTTAAAGTTATAAAATATTAAATATGCTATCTGAAAATATAAAATGTTCTCTTATGTTCCATATCATTTTCGAAAATCATTGCTTAACAAATCCTGCAACCCTACAAGAAATTTGTAAATTAACAACTAAACTATTTTGAAAATTCTTGGAACTTAATGGACATGTTATGGAACTCAGGTTGTTCCTGAAATAATCTTTACATTTGTCAATCTGGTTATAAAATAGAGTGATAGTAGCAGCAGTAAGCAAAAGCTACTACTTAAAATACCAATTCTTACCATTGCTTTAAATTAAAAAAAATATTATTCTTAGACTATCAAGGATATTTAGATAAATTTTTATAAATTAAAATTTATTGATATTTAGAATCTATCAGTGTCTTTCATGTCTTATGTAGTTAAATCATTCACACAGTCTTGTTATGTTAAAAACAAAAGTCATTTCCTTTTGGTGAGGTTTTGATTATGGCGGATGAAAAAATGTCAGGTGAGTGCCACAGCAAAAGTTTATTATACCAGACTAACCTATGTCCAAAAAATTTGAGAATCATTGCTCTAGAAAATGTAACTTATTTTCTCCAAACCTCTTTAAATGTTCTTAGTTTTACAAATAAATACTTTCATCCTTATTCCTTGTTTACTAAGATCTGTATTTCAGTCCTGTTCTGTGTGTATCATTAAGTGCCCATTGGTGTGAAAGACAAGTTAGTTTGATACAACCCTGAAATTTTTTCATACCAATTTTTTTTATAATTTCAGATAAACAACATCTCTCTCTGACATTTTACTGTGATCAGAAAAATTTGATTGCCTGTATTCAGCACAGTAGTAGTATCTTAGTCTAAATGAGAAGCAGATTGATCATTTATTGGCTTTGAATAACAAAAATTCTGCCGAGGCAATATTCAAGAAATTTCCATTATGTTTCTACAGTGTAAAATTGTTTCAAAAGTAGTATCGGATGAAGAGTATTGGCCCTGGAGTTGGGTTGTTTGTGTTGAGATTGTTTTACTTATAGGAGGATGTAGTTTCCTCATCTTTAAAATTGGCATATATTCCTACTTTGTAAGTTTGCAATGAGATTACAGGTGATATGTTGCATATACAGTGTAGCATGTAAGGTAAATGCTCATGTGTTTCAGTGATGATTATAGCTTAACAGTATATATTTACATATGCATGTTGAGACAAAAATTAATTTTTTTAAAAATTCAGTTTTGTCTTTTCTGTGTATTCTGTGTATTATTTTAATCAAACTAATGCATACAGTTTTAAAACAAGTTCTCAATTGTTATTCACTTTACAAATTAACTTACTGTAGGATTTCTTCAATTACTAAGCTTCTCTAATGAACTAAAGACTGATTATATCTGCCAAAATTTAACTCCCGTGATTTTCAGTAATACTCTTATAATTTAGAGACAGATACATCTGTCTGTGTTTTATAAACCTGTTCTTCTGTTTATGTAAACCTTAATTGTGAACAAATCCTGGATGTCAAGGTTAAATTTAGCTTTGATTTTTCACTTTGAATGTCATTAAAACTAGATTCTAATGTTTTATTTCTGAATTCTGTTTTTGCAAATATCAAGATGCTTATTTTAAAAATACGTGTCCTATGAAGGAGTACTGACTATTCTGGGGTTTTTCAGTTTTTCCCCCTTGAAATGTTGGCCACATGACCATTTCTCTGGGTGTTAAAGTTCTGTTTATGAGTTAGTCAGGATCTTGATATTATCCCAGAAAACAGTCAGAATGCTTCACAACTGCCAACTCATAAACTAGCCAGCTGCTTCTTGGATTGTGTGACTGAATATAATGTTTAGGATCAGAGTTTTTAAATGTTCTTATGGATATTTTATAATATTATTTTTATTTGTATGTGTATCTCTGTCTATAAATTTTCTGTCTGTAGATTATTTCATTGTGCAGAGTAACCAGAGCATGGTAAGCTCTTTGGTCTGGTTTATCTTCAGTTTTGATGGTAGATTGCGTCCTTTTGCTTTTTCAGTACTTTAATTTTTTGTCTATTATTTTAATTCTTTCCAGCATGAACTGCTCATCTTTCATTTTCAACCCTTTTACTTTTCAAACTTAAAAAGTTTAACTTGGGACCAATTATATATGCTTATGTGTTTAGGTAGTTTATAAAGGCAGATTCTGTCCCAGGCTATCTTTGGCTAATTTTTGTTCTTTCTCTTGTTTTTCTATGAAGAGGTCCTTCATTCATCAGCAAATAATTATTAAGCTTCTCTTAACTGTCAGGTACTGTTCTGGATACTGGGGTAGAGTAATAAACAAAAGACTCTTCCTGGAGTTTACATTCTGGTCTCAGTGATTGTTTACTACTCTGATAATGAGTTTAATAAGGCAGAAAATGTAAATTTTTGTGAGTACAATTTAATAAAATAACTGAAGCATGCTAACAAACATGATAGAACACTTGAGTTCCCATTTCTACTCAAGTAAATAATAGACTAGTTCTTCTCTAAGGCAGAAAGATGAGGCAGTCTGCTTCCATAAAGAAAACCCTATAGGCCAGGTCTATTCTATCTTTCCTATAGGATTGCTATGAGGCAGAATTGACTCAGTGGAAGTGGGTTTGGTTTGTAGTTTCATATGAGAAAATGACAAATACATAAACCACAGTTTTTATTATTTTCAGATCTATTCTTTGTTACTCTTGTTAACACTTTATTTTAATCAAAGACTATTTTTTTTGTTATTATCTTTTTAATGGAAGGTGGGTCTGGTCAAGATGGCTTAGCCTTTTGATCTTTGTTTTTTTTTTTTTTTTTTGCCTTTCCCTTCACCCAAATCAAAGACTTTATTCTTATGTATCTAATCTTTTTCAGAAACTGGCAGACCTTTCTCTTCGTATCCAACAAATCGAAACAACTCTCAATATTTTAGATGCAAAGGTTTGTATTCCTGAGTAATTTATAGTATACACTTTATTGTACATATACCAGCTTTTCTCAGTCTTACTTAACTTTGGTTTCATTTGAGGATGAATTCAGTGTTTATTCTGCATCCAAGAGTGGTACATTGTTTTTGTTTTTAAAATTCATGATAATTTCCAAGGAAATGGTATTCTCTGTGAACCATTAACTGAGCCTGTTAAAATGTAGACAAGCGTAGTGTTCATCACAACACTAGTGACAGTAGCCAAAAGATGGAAACAATCTACATCAGTATATAAATGGATAAACAAAATGTGGTACATAGATAAAATGGAATATTACACTGCCATACAGAGAAATGAAGTCCTAGTAAATACTACAACATGGATAAATCTTGAAAACATTATGCTGAGTGAAATAAGTCACAAAAGGACAAGTATTGTGCGTTCCCACTTATATGAAATATCTGAATAAACATAAAAATGACTAGGCAAAAAAAAAAAGGAATAGGCAGTATATGGAGACCAAAATCTATTAGTGGCTACCAGGAGAGAGGGAAGAAGCCATTGCTTGTAGGGCACAGTGCTTCTCTTAAGGGTGGTGGAAAAATTTGGAAACAGTGGTGATGGTCAAACAACATGATTAAAGTAATTAGTGCCACTGAATTGTACATGTAAAACATGTAATGGCAAATATTTTGTTATAGCTATCTATCTATCTATATGTATCTATATATAGATAGATAGATACAGATATATGCTCACCACAATAAAGTATATTTTTTTTTAAATGTAGATATGGATTGTGTTTTTCTTTCACTAGTCAGTGTAATAATGTAAGTAATATTATATAACAAATGGAGTGGTTATATATTTTACTTCATTTGATAGAAAATTCAAAATTAGTTTAATAGTTATTTGATTATACAGTCAGAAAAATTAGGTAAAATTTAGATATCAGATAAAATTTTAGCAACAATACCAGCTGTTTTTTTTTTTTTATTTTTAGATATATTAAATGCTAATGAGTTCAAATTTTGATGTCAAGCTGCAAGAGTTAGGAAAAAGAAGGGTGTTTTGTTTTGAAAACTGAAAGATTTTGAAATAACAATGACAGATTTAACTTAGTACATGTATTTTTTCCTATTTATAATGTACTAAACATACTAGTATATATTTGTGATTCTGTCCTTTTGCAAAAAAGAATTGATCTGAAATATCTATTGACTATTAATGAGGAATAGAAATGACATTAATATCTTTATTATAAGGACTGAATGTCTTACTTGTACATCTCCTTGTCACACATTTCTCAAACTGAGTACATTAGGAGACTTGGTCTTGAACATTTTCAAGATATTCTTCTACCAGTTAAACACACTTGAAACTATCTGGCCCATAGCCACTGTGTTAAGTACTGTCATCAGTCAACAGTTCTCAGTGAGTATTCCTGCTTAAGAGCTTATTACCATTCGTTCTTTCACTATCCTTTGCTATGAGTATGTATCTTATTTTCATGTTTGAGGAATTCTTACCAAGTTAGAGTCCAAGATTACAATGAAGTTACTACATAGACATGTTAACTTTAGTCATTTCTAAACCCATAGGGTTAATTCCTACACTTAGCCAGACATTATTTGACAATGTGTATTATAGATATCAAGATGAAATTAGAAAAAGAGTTTGCATGGATCTGGCAAATCCAACATGAAATGCTTAACTACTGACAGTATGCCCATCTTTTGTGTTTGAAAAAACAACACAGTAACAAACATTCAGCAAGAAATGTTCAGGGTTTTTTTAAATAAAAAGAATGAGCAGTGTCATACATTAATATATAAAGATAAGAGTTATGCCATTTACCACATAATTCAGAGTTAATATGTGTGCTGCAAAACACTTTTAATGAAATTATTTTTACAATTTTATAAGGTAAATTTTCTTATCCTCATATTACCAATGAGAAGATTGAAGCATAGGGAGATTTATACAAGGTTGTACAGTTTGTGAGTGGTACAGGTAGGACTTAAATGTGGGCAATCAGACTCCAAAGCCCATGCTTTCAATCCTGTTTTAAAAATAATTTCTACTATGGCCCCTAACTGCTCTTCGGGTCTGGAATTAAACCCACACCTGTGGTTTCCAGCCAAACAAAAGACAGGCATATGAGTTGAACATTTACCACAAGTAGATACTCTCCTTGGAGAGAACAATCATGGGAGAAAGAAGGGCTGCTTATGCACAGGGAGACAGCTCAGGGGGCAAGAGTCCGTGGAGGGATGGACACAGGGAAGAGGTAACTATGGGGAGGAAGTGGGAGGGGAGCTGTTGCACTGTGGCCAATGTCATGAGACAAAGTATATGTAAACTGCTGTATGGAAAGTGAATTTGCTCTGTAAATCTTCACCCAAATCACAATTAAAAAAAAAAAAAAGGAAGAAAAAAAATTTCTGGAAAAAGAATGGTAATAAATTCTATTTTTTGATGAATTCTTCAAAAGTATTTTATTTCTGAGTATCTTTTAAATAATCTATGGCATGGAGAATTTCCCACACCAAAGTTAAGGTTTTATGGACCTATTTCCATAGGCTTAAAACTTAATATAAAAACCAGTTGCCCAGAGCTAACAAGCTAACATTGTACTTAGTGGAGAAAGTCCAAAAAGCTTTCTAATTAAGATCAGAAACCACAGGAATGCCTGCTTTCACCATTGCCATTCAAGATCATTCGGGAAGTCCTAGCTAGAGCAATTAAGCTAGAATAAAGAGAAGAGGTATCCAAATAGGGAAGGAGGAAGTAAACTATCTCTTTTCACAGATTACATGATCCTATACTAAGAACACCCCAAAGAATCTTGTGGCAGTACACGAGGTCAACACACAAAAATCAGTTTTCTGTATATCAGCAATGAGCAAGTGGAAAAGAAAGTTAAGCAAACATTATTTACAATAGCATGCACCTTAGTTCTCCATGGTGTTATAACAGAAATACCACAGGTGGATGGCTTTAACAAACAGGAATTTTTTCTCATAAGTTTAGGAGGCTGGAAGTTTGAATTCAGAATGCTGGCTCTGGGTGAAGGCCCATCGACCTTGTGCTTCAGCTGTGCCTTTTGTTATAGGCCCATTGGAGATGGAGGTTTCTGATTCATGCAGCAACTGGCAGCTGAGGCTGACGAATCCATGACTGGCAGGTTAAATGTCACAGTCCCAAGATTGGCAGGCAACATGCCAGACCACTAGTTCAAGTCCAGGACAATCCCAAGATGAGCATGCAACACAGTAGGACAGTGGTTCAGATCTGGAAACTGGAGATGAAGAAGTGGCCAAATACAGGATCCAAATGTTCCCAAAGCTACAGACCTTTCTCTTAGCTCTTTCATATATAATGAAGGCAACTACTTACAGCAGATTCCACCATGGAGGTGATTACAGTCTCATTATGGGGAATAACTAGATCCAGCTGTCAACCACTCCAAACCTTGGCCTAGCTGGCTTAATACACAACCTTTACTGTGGCATCTAAAAAAATTAAGTACCGTGGAATAAATTTAACCAAGAAGATCAAAGACTTGTACACAGAAAATTATAAAGCATTACTAAAAACAAATTAAAGAAGCTCTAAATAAATAGGACATTCCATGTCCAAAAGTTGGAAGGCTTAATATTGTAGTTAAAATGTCAGTACTACCCAAAACAATCTATAAATTCAATGCAATCCTCATAAACATTCCAACAGTTTTCTTTGCAGAAGTGGAAAAGCCATTCCTCAAATTTATACTGAATGGCAAGGGACCCTAAATAATTATATAAATCTTCAAAAAGAATAAAAGAGAAGAACTCACACTTCCTCATTTCAACATACATTACAAAGCTATAGTAATTAAAATTGACTGGTATTTAAGTAATAATACATATATAGACCAATAGAATACAATTGGAAGTCCAATAATAAATCTATATGTGTGTGGTAAACTGATGTTCAACATAGATGCTAAGATCATTCAATGAAGAAAGAAGAGTCTTGTCAATAAATGGTGCTGGGAAAACTGGATTTCTACATGTAGAAGAGTGAATCAGGATCTGTGCCTTGTCCCATACAGAAAACCAATTCAGATAGAGCAAGGACCTACATATGAAAGCTGAAATCATAAATTTCTTAGAAGAAAATGTAGGAGTGAGATTATATGACCTAATATTTGATAATAATCAGATATGATGACAAAATCTTGAGCTGCAAGAGACAAAATGGATAAATAAGACCTTATATAAATTAAATACTTTTGTACATGAAAAAACTTAAATCAGCAAAGTAAAAAGCCTATAGATTAGGAAAAAATTTTCGGGAACTGTGTATTGGATAAGGGCTTAATACCCAAAATAACTTCCTTAATTTATCAACAAAAAGACAAACAATAAAAAAAATGGGCAAAGGACTTGGACGGTTCACCAGAGAAGATGCTCAAATGGCCAGTAAGCACAAGAAAAGATATTGAACTTCATTACCATTGCTGTTTTTAGGTTCTGGGAGTTAGTTCCAGCTCATGGCAACCTTATATACCACAGAATGCAAAACACTGCCCAGCTGTTTGGTCTTTCACCATCCTCACAGTTGTTGACATGGTCTGTTATTGCAGCCACTGTGTCAGTCCATCTCATTGAGGGTCTGCCTCTTTTTTGCTGACCCACTACTTTACCAAGTATGATGTCCTTCTCCAGGAACTAGTCCCTCATGATAACATGTCCAAGGATGTGAGATGATGTCTTGCCATCCCCTCTTCTGAGGAGTATGCTGGTTGTACTTCTTCCAAGATAGATTTGTTCATTCTTCTGGCAGTCCGTGGTGTGTTCAGTAATTTTACCATCATCATATTTCAGAAACATAATTTCTTCTTCGGTCTTCCTTATTCATTGTCCAGCTTACGCATATGAGGCAGTTGAAAATAGCATGGCTTGGACCAGGCACACCTTAGTCCTCAAAGTAACATCTGGACTTTTTAACACTCTCAAGTGGTCTTTTGCAGATTTGCTCAGTGCAGTGCATCATTTGATTTCTTTACTGCTGCTTCCATGGGCATTGATTCTGAATCCAGGTCATTAACCATTGTTGTTATTTGCCGTTGAGTCGGCCCCAACTCATAGCGACCCCTCCTTGGGTTTCCGAGGCAATATCACTGTGGAAGTAGATTGCCCCATCTTCCTTCCGAGGAGTGGCATTAACCATTAGGGAAATGCAAATCAAAACCTCAATGAGATATCATCTCACTTCCATAAGAATAGCACTGATCAACAAAAATGGAAAACAACAGGTATTGGTAAGATTATGGAGAAACTGGAATGCTCCTCCATTGCTGGTGGGAATGTAAAATAGTACAGCCACTATGGAAAACAGTTGTGGGGTTCCTCAAAAAGTTGAATACAGAACTACCATATGACTCCACAATCCCAGTCTTTGGTATACACCAGAAGTGAAGGCAGGAACACAATAGAAACCTGTACACTAATGTTAATTGCTACATTTTTTACAATAGCCAAAGATGGAAACATCTGAAATGTCCAACAGATGAATGGAGAAACAAAATGTGGTATGTACAAATAGTAGCATATTGTGCAACTGTAAAAAATGAAGTTCTGATGCATGCCACAACATGAACCTTGACATAGATGAACCTTGGATAATGAACTAAATAACTCAGCTCTAAAAAGACACTTTAGACAAGTGATATTTAATAGAATAGTACTCTCAAATTTCAAACATTATACTGAGTGAAATAAGTCAGTTGCACAATGAGAAATACTATATGATCTCACATGAAATAAGCAAATATATAAACCAAAAAAACCAAACTCAGTGCCATCAAGTCAATTCTGGCTCATAGTGACCCCATTTGTGTTTCTGAGGTGGTTCCTCTTTACAGAAGTAGATTGCCCAGTGTTCCTTCATAGAGTGGCTGGTGGGTTTGAACTGCCAGCCTCTTGGTTAACAGTCAAATGCCTTAGGCACTATGCCACCAGAGGTCCTTAAGGAAATATATAGACAGAAAAAATTATTAATGGTTACCAGAAGTGAGAGGAAGGGGGAAAGGGGAAGTTTTTGTTGTTGTAGGGTTATTGAGTTTATGTTAATGGTGGTACGATATTCTGGAAAAGATAATGATAATTTCTAGCACAACATGAAAAATGTAATCAATGTTACTGAATTATAAATGGACAAGTTCTATTGTCAAATATTTTGGTGTATATATTTACACCCTAATAAGTTGTTGTTGTTGTTATATGCTATTAAATTAGTTTCAACTCAGTGCAACCCCATGTGTGTCAGAATAGAACTGTGCTCCGTAGGGTTTTCAGTGGCTGATTTTTAAGTAGATTACCAGGCCTTTCTTCAAAGTCCACCCAGAGGTGGACGTGAATGGCCAAATTTTCTGTTAGTAGTCAGACCCTTTAACTGTATCATCTGGGTACTTCAGAGTTAATATCAGACAGCTATTAAAAAGAAAACGCAAACCTACAAACTTAGTGTTTATTTATGCACCTAACTTCATCCTCATATACTAACACTTAGTTTTCTTTTTCAGTTGTCATCTATTCCAGGACTAGATGATGTCACATTTGAAGTATCTCCTGTAAGTGTCAGTACTATCACAAATGGACCACAATCTAAAGCCACTTCAGATCAATCACAGGTAAGTATTTAAGTTTTAGGAAATATAAGCATATCTCCTTGGTTGCTTAATAGATTCAATTGGCAAATTGGAAGGAAGAAGTTAAATGAGAATATTAAAAGTTTAAAGGTAAAAATTCAAAGTCTGAAGATAGAAAATGAAATTAAAAAAAATATATTAGCTGTTTTAATTTGTTATTTTGTAGGACTTCCTGAAGTTAGTATCTGTAAACTTGATCTATAGAGGATTAGAAAAATAGTAAATTACTTCCTTCACGTTCACTATGGAAATTTTTCCAAGTTTTTATAAGAAATGTATTTTTAAAATATTTTATTATAAAGATTTTCAAACATGCATAGTAGAATAGTACCATGAATGCCCACATAGCCATTACCCAGATTCGCCAGTTATTAAGATTAGCACAATTCCTGCCACAATTCTTTTTTGTCCCTACTGAAGTGAATCTCAGACATCTTCTCATTTCACCCCTGCATAATTCCTTGAGCAATTCTGACAAGTTTTGACATTTCCTTATATAACCCCAATTCCCTTATCATATCCAGTATAATTGATAGTAGATCCTTGGTCTCTTCTAGTGCACCCCCTGGACTAGTAGCTTTGGCATTACCTGTGGATGTGTTAGAAATGGAGAAGCTGAGGCTCCTGCACAGGCCTGCTGAATTAGAGGCTTCATTTTAATAAGATCCTTAGATGATTTGTAGGGTATTGAAATTGGGAAGTACTGTTCTACTAAATACCAGTTGTGTAAAACATATATTTTTAGAGCTGATTTGTTTGATTCTGCATCTAAGTAAGGGCCACACTTTACTTTTATTTATTATGTCTTAATGTTCATTTATAGGCGCTCTGGTAGCATAGTGCCTAAGGCATTTGACTGCTAACCAGAAGGCTGGTGGTTCAAACCCACCAGCCACTCCTCGGAAGGAAGGTTGGGCAATCTACTTCCATAGTGATACTGCCTGGGAAACCCAAGGAGGGGTTGCTATGAGTTGGGTCTGACTTGATGGCACATAACAACAACAACAGTGTTCGTTTATACTTCTGTATAAATTGAATTCTTTCTCATTTTATATCAAGAAAATAAAAAAATGCTTTGTCATTTGAGAAAATTTTGTAACGTGTCTCAACTTTATTAAAATTCAAAAATTTTTAAAAATATCACCAAAATAGTGGCCTACCAAAGTAATACTAAAGAAGTAAACTTCCTATCTGTATAGAATTTGTATGTAGTGTTTTTCACCAGATATTTTATAGGATCATGATGCTATAGATGTACCAACCCCTCCTTGGGTTTCCAAGGTGGTATCACGATGGAAGTAGATTGCCCAACCTTCCTTCCAAGGAGTGGCTGGTGGGTTTGAACTGGCAGTCTTCTGGTTAGCTGATTAGGCACTATGCTACCAGAGCTCCTCAATGAGAATAGCTAACACTTAAGGGTGTTTACTAAATGCCAGGCATGATTTTCATAAATTAACTCATTTATCCTCACAATAGCCCTATGAGATAAGTACTATATTATTGTCTTACTCTATAGCTCTGGTGCTGTGGTGATTAAGGCATTTTGACTGCTAACCGAAAGGTTGCTTTGAACCTACCAGCTGCTCTGTGGCAGTTTGTTTCTGTAAAGATTTAGAGCCTTGGAAACCCTATAGGGCAATTCTACTCTGTCCTAAAAGGTCATTATGATTCAGAATCCACTGGATAGCAGTGGGTTTGGTTTGGGTTTAGATGGGTGGATCAAATGAGGCATGGTATTGTGCACCATGGAGTCGATTCTGACTCATAGCAACCCTATAATGACTTTGTGTGACAGCGTAGATCTGGCCCATAGAGTTTCCTAGGCTGAAATCTTTTTGAGAGCAGATCACCAGCTCTTTTCTTCTGTGGAGCAGCTGGTGGGTCTCAATAGCTGAACTTCTGTTGCAGTCGAATGCTTAACCATTATACCACTAGGGGTTGCCTAAGTGACATATAAAGAGGTTTTATAACTTGTTGAAAGTCAAACAGTAAAAGTAAGAGCTGAATCTTAGCCCAGCTAGTCCAGTGACGATAGTCATTGCTCTTAACACACTGCACTGCACCATATACCACTGCTATACTGTCTTCAGTGCTGGTGTTCAGTTCATTAGACATACTAAACACCTGTGGTACAGTACCTTGTAGGAAGAGCTGTATATTTTGATATAGTGTGTATTTGAGGAATTAATTAGATAATTATTTACTTAATAACTAGATAATAGAAAATTTAACATTCGTAAAATATAAAATTTAATTCCACTATGAAGGCCACTGAAATATATATAATGTATAAGAAGAAATCCAGATATTGTTGAGAGTTTTAACTTTAAAGGTTTTCTGAATTAAATATAGGACACCTTTTTTCGAAATCAAGGTGTCTATAAAGGATACTAAGAAAGTCTTTGCAGTCTACCTAGTAGTTATTTTCAGGCGGATACTAGGTGTCATATAATGTTTCTATAAACTTTTTAAGTGGTATCTGTCTAACTTTGAATATTAATTTTTCAGGTGCTCTTGTGAATGTCATCTGTAATATGTACTTTAAAACTTAATTTATGCAGTTGCGTTGGTCTTTGCCTATTTAAGGCTCCAAAACATTGATTACAACTAAACACAGCTGACTTTTCTAACTTGCCTTGCAAATTTCGAATGACCTAGGATATCTCTGACAAGCTTTTGTAAAAGCTGTATTATTCATTTGGAGGATTTATAAAGTTTTGTGACTTCCCAAGTTTTTGTGGTAGACAATTATTGTGGTAAATTAATTAATGATTAGTATAGTAACTGTTCAGCATGTTCTTAATAAATGAATCAATATCCTGTTTCTTCTCCATTGTTACAAATAAAACCAAAAACCAAACTCACTGCCGTCGAGTCGATTCCAACTCATAGCAACCCCTCCTTGGGTTTCCAAGGTGGTATCTCTACAGTAGATTGCCCAGTCTTCCTTCTGAGCGGTGGCTGATGGGTTTGAACTGCCAGCCTTCTGGTTAGCAGTCAGATGCCTTAGGCATAGGTAGATTATATTTAAAATATTTTGAAATGAGCTCAAGTATTGCTTAACAGAGAGTTCCCATTGACATTACCATTAATTCAATTATCAGATAAAGGGTAATCATGCTCCTTTTTTTTCTTTTTTAAATTGTCCATTCACCACAGTCTGTAATCTATATGTGAGTCAAAGACCTGAAGTTTGTATACTAATTTTTCTGCAACTTTAATTTTATGGTTCAGATTTTACCGTTACTCACAATAGAACATCTAGTTGTGCAGATTGATATTAATTTGATAATAAAATGAAGGACAGTTGAGACATATGATAAAGGATTTAATGTGTCATTCAGACAGCAAAGGTATAAACTATTACATAAGTAAACCTTGTTGTGGTCTTGGTTATAAACAGAAGTTAACAACTGAAAGTTCAAAATCCATTAGGTTATTATATATAACTATCATTTGCTCCATTGTGCTGTTGTATGAGTTTATTGCCCATGAATTTTTAAATAACATACTTGGGTCTTGTTTGAACTTTTTATTTAATTAGCAATTGTTATGGACTTTTTGTATTTATGTATAATATCTAGGTACACTCAGTTTTGAAACACTTAACATTATCATATTGGGAGGGGGAGCCCAAAAGATTTTTAGATGTTTTATTTGCTTTAGAATTTTTCAAAGATTTAATATTTGAATTATCTGAGGAAAATCTTAACATCTATAATTTGCATTCATATTCTAAATATTATGAAAGTTTAAAGGTGTTTCTTGATTTATCTACAATTCAGTATAGATAACAGACATACTATTGATTTCATTCTGTTAATGAAATTCCTCCTACTGCTAATATATAGATACTGAGTAAGGTTCACAAAAGTAATAATAATCTAAACCTTGAGCTTGATAGAAGAATCAAGTACTGTATACCAGCAGTCCTTGCTTTGCACTTAAGCAAGGACATGGTTCCAATATCAGCAAGTTTCATTTAACACTGTTCTATGCAAAGTGAGAACTGCCTGTATAACAAAAATATTTTTATCTGGAAAGACCATTCCTTAGTATTCTTCATTGTAAGTAGTATTTAGTATTTAATCTTAACCAGTCTTTGGACAGTCTTAGCCCTAAGAGTTTATCAGTGGTTGAAATTTTAAGAACTAGATCATTTTGTCTGAGAAATAGCTTCCTTTACCACCAATTTTCCAGAAATTGGAAAAGCCACACCCACTTAGAAATGATTTTATAAATGAGTTCAGTAGGGTAGATAGTAGATATTGAGGAAATCAGTCATGGCTCATTAGAAGTAAACTACTTTGATTAGCTTTATTAAAAGTTTTATTAAGATAATATATTTTAAGTCAGCACTCTGGGGACCAGTAAAGCGGAATTTTAATGTTTTTAATGCCAGAACATATGCATTTTAAGGAACAATGTTGTGTTGATAGTAAATGTAGCTTCCTCTGAGGTCATATTTAAACATTTGTAGTTCTATGGAAACGTATCCCATAATTAAATTATTGGTATTCAAATTGAGAAATATGATTTATTTTATGGTATTGAATGCTTTAGAATTAGGAAAAGAAACATCCTTCTTAAGTAACATGATAGACCCCTTTTGTGAATTGTCTAAAGATTTACACACAATACTCTCTACAGCAGAACAGTATACAAGACTCTGGACCACAGGAAATTGAAGTAGCAGCAGAAAATATCTTAACTGTAGCCAAGGATCCAAGATATGCCAGATATCTCAAAATGGTTCAAGTGGTAAGCTAATTTGGTCTGTCTTCTCTGTCTAGCAGCCTCATTTAAAATTCTTAACCCTTGAGGTTTGACTGTTATTTTTTCAATCTGAGAAAACTGCTAAACTGAGCGACCAAGTTTTCTTCTCTCTTACTTCTTTTCTATGCTTAATTAATACCCTGATCAAAAGTAACCAGAAATCAATCTTTCTAATTAAAATTTATTACACACTTCAAATTAATATAGTATTTAATATAGATTTATGTAACTTTTTTTGCTTTACATAAAGTTATCAATGCAAATTTTGGATGTATCAGAAAGAGGAAAGAAAGTGGACTGTTCTTGTGGTGAGCCATGTGCATTACTTAATTCCCATGTAGTGGCACAAATAATATGTTTTTTGTATTTTCATACTGATGTTCATCTATCACTGATTTGGTTTCTAGAAAAGAGCATGTAAGTCTCTTGGCTGTGTGAGATGTGTTTATATGATTTCAGAATTCATATTTTTTCTAAGGAATCATAACATGGTATGATATCAAAAATACTTCCATTTATCTATAATAGCACAAGTTAATTTCATTCCTGTAGAAAGTTCTTTTGTCATGGTTGAAGGAGCTGTCTTTCCATCATTTTTCTGTTAATTAAAAAGTTAATACATATTAAAATTCTTTAATCAGACAAAAGAACTACCAAAACTAAACTAGATTTGTTTTGCTGTCCATGGCATTGGTTATCACCAAAATAATTTAAGAACTATTAATCTTCGATCATCAGAAAAAATGTTGTTGTTCAGTGCTGTTGAGTTGGCTCTCCAACTTATAGTGACCCTGTGTATAACTTTGCTAAATTCTATGCCATCCTTAAAATCATTGCTGTGCTTTAGCCCGTTATTGTAGCCACTGTGTCAGATCATCTCATTGAAGGTCTCCCTCTTTTTCATTGGTCCTCTACTTTCTAACTCAAAAAACTCATGGTTGTCGAGTCAGATCCGACTCACAGCGACCCCTCCTTGGGTTTCCAAGGCGGTATCACTATGGAAGTAGATTGCCCAATCTTCCTTCTGAGGAGAGGCTGATAGGTTTAAACCGCCAGCCTTCTGGTTAGCAGTCATATGCCACAGGGATTGGTCTCTCCTGGTAAAATATCCAAAGTAAAATGAGACAGTCTTGCCATCTTTCCAAGAAACGCTGGACCCTAAGATGTTGAAAAGAGACAAGGACCTTTCCTCAGAGCTGACAGAGAGAAAGAAATCCTGCCCCTAGAGCTGGCACCCTGAATTGAGACTTCTAGCCTCCTAAACTGTGAGAGAATAAATTTCTCCTTGTTAAAACGATCTACTTTGGGTATTTCTATGATAGCAGCACTAGATAAAAAAAATTTGGTACTGGAAGAGTGGGGTGCTGTTCTCACAGATACCTAAAATATGTTAATATTTTGGAATTAGATAAGGAGTAGGGGCTGGAAGAGTTTTAAAATACCTAATAGTAAAAGCCTAGATTGCCTTGAAGAGACTGTTAATGTAATTATAGGCATCAAAGGCAATTTTAGTGAGGGCTCAGGAGGAAGTGAGGAGAAGCTGTAATACTGGAGATGATGGAAATGGTGAGAAGCAGCAACAGAAAACTAGTGACATTAGAATCAGGAGACCAGTGTGAGATGGTGCAGGAGCTGACCCACGGAGCAAAAGAGCTGAGCACCTTTGGGCAGGAGACTTGCTGGTAGGTCAGGATGGCTCCAGGCACTCGTCAGTGGAGCTAAGGAGCTTTGTAACACTTGCTCTCTGAGCAGGGTAGAGGTCTGAGGGACTGAGGGGCTGAAAGGCCAAGGAACTAGGAAGCAGAAGCTGAAGAGACAAGGAGTACAGGAAGCAGAGCTGCCTTGGTCTCAAAGCATAGGGCCACCACCCCTGACATCTCAAAGGGTGCAACCACAGCCTGCTGGTGGGTCTCAAAGGGTGGGGCTGTGGCTTTCTGGGTTTCAAAGAGTTAGATCTTCACCAACTCAGTTCTGGAGTGTGGGGCTGCGGTTCATGAGTACCAAGAGGATGGGGCCAGATCCATTGCCCAAAACTGAAGGGGCGAGGCTGCCTTGCCAAAGAGACAGAAGGATGGGGCTTGTTGGGGCCAAGGTGGTAGGGTTTCCACTCAGTTGGACTAGAAGAATGGAGTTTCCCAAAGCCAGTGGAGCAGGGTTGCCATCCCAGTGGGCCTGGAAGGCAGAGCTGAAGCTGAGGGCTGAGCTATCTCCATCCAGAAACCAGAGAGTATGGCTGGCACTCTCTGAAGAGCAATACCAGTACCCGGGGAGTGTCAAAGAAATTGTTCTGTTGGGCTTTGGGCTCACTTTGTGCTTGTTACTTTTCTGTTTGTAATGGAAATGCCTACCTTGTGCCTATTCCACCACTGTACTGTGGAAACAGTTAACCTGTATTCTAGATTACAGAAGTTCACAGATGAAGAAGAGTTTTGCCCCAAGATATTTTAGACTTGGAGATGATTTAACTCTTTTGGGACAATAAGATGGGGTGAATGTGTTTTATATATGACAAAAACATGAATTTTGGGATGCCAAAGGGTAGAATATTATGGATTGAATTATGTCCTCAAAAAATATGTGTCAACTTGGCTAGGCCATGATTCTTGGTACATGTAATTATCCTTCATTTTGTGATTTGATGTAGTTATGCTATATAAATCCTAACCTCTGTGATATTAATGAGGCAAGATACAGTCTACAGAATTAGGCTATATCTTGAGTCAATCTCTTTTGAGATATAAAAGAGATTAAACAAACAAGCAGAGACCACAAGGGCCTCAGTATCACAAAAAAAGAAGAGTTGGGAATGGAGTGCATCTTTTGGACTCAGGGTCACTATGGTGTGAACCTTCTACACTCGGGAAGATTGATGCCAAGACACATGGAGAACTCCAAGAGATACGAAGTCCACAAATATTGAAAGGAGACAAGGGCCTTCCCCCAGAGTTGACAGAAAGCTTTACCTAGCCTTACGTTAGTCACCAGAGTGACATCTATGCTTTTTAAGATTTTAAAGAGGTCTTCTCTCTTAACCCTCCGGCCAGCATTTACTGTTTTCTTCTTCCTGGGTTTTTTTTTTTTTTTTCCCCCTTTCCTATTAATGCTGGGGTGAGATAATAACACATTGTTGTTTTGATTTGCATCTCTCTAGGAGCTCTGTTGACATAGTGGCTAAGGCACTTGACTGCTAACCAGGAGGCTGGTGGTTCAAACCCACCAGCCACTCCTCGGAAGGAAGGTTGGGCAATCTACTCCATAGTGATACTGCTTCGGCAACCCAAGAAGGGGTCACTATGAGTCGAATCCGACTCCACGGCAGTGGTTGCATTTGGTTGCAATGGCTAATGATCTCGAGCATTTCTTCATGTGTTTGTTGGCTATCTGGATATCTTCTTTGGTGGAGTGACTGTCATATCCTCTGCTCATTTTTTAATTGGAGTGTTTGTCTTGATGTTGTTAGGTTTTGAAGTTTTTTATAAATTTTGGAGATTAGTCCCTTTTGTCCATTATGTCCTGGCCAAAATTTTTTTCCCAGTCTGTAGTTTCTCTTTTTACTCTTTTGGTGAAGTCTTTTGATGCACATAAATGTTCAATTTTTAAGAGGTCCCAGTCATCTGTATTAAGGCCCCTAAGTTTGCCCCTGCTTTTTCTTTGATAGTATTTATGGCTTTACATTTTACACTTTCATCTTTGATCCATCTTGAGTTCATTTTTGTATATGGTGTGATTATGGATCACATTCCATTTTTCTGCAAATAGATACCAGTTTTGCCAGCATCGTCTGTTAAGGAGACTATCTCTTCTGCATTTAACGCATTTCAGTCCTTTATGAAAGATCAGGTGTCCATAGGTGGATGGGTTTACTTCTGGGTTCTCAATTCTGGACCATTGATCTATGTATCTGTCTTACCAGCACCAGGCTGTTTTGTTTTGTTTGTTTGTTTGTTTTTAATTGTGATTTGGGTGAAAGTTTTCAGAGCAAGTTCATTTTCCATTCAACAGTTCATACACATTTTGTTTCATGACATTGACTGCAATCCCCATAGTGTAACAGCTCACTTCCCAGTTCCTTCCAGGTAACCCTGTGTCTTTCTTTCTTATGCATTCCTTCTCTCTGAGTTATCTCTCCATGCAATGCTGCCCTCTGATCAACCATAGTTGATTGTTCTATAGAGTATGCCTCAAACCAAACCAAACTCACTGCCATAGAGTCAATTCTGACTCATAGGGACCCCTGTTGGGTTTCTAAGGATGTAAACCTTTAGAGAAGTAGGTAGCTTCATCTTTCTTCTGCAGAGTAGCTGGTCGGTTTTAACTACTGATATTTTGGTTAACAGCCAAATGCCTTAACCACTATACCACCAGAGTTCCTTAGTAGTGTACCTACCTGGTATAAGTATTCACCTTATAAGCCTGTCCATTGTCTGGCTGGAAGCAATTGGAGTGGGTTCAGTTCTAGACCCAAAGGGTGGCTAGGGACCATAATCTTGGGGCTTTCACCAGTTGCTATCAGACCAGTAAAGCCTGGTCTTTTTTTGTGATTTTGTGTTTTGTTCCACATTCTTTTCCCACTGTATACAGGATCTTCTGCTTTAATCCCTTTCCGAGTGGTTGACAGTGGTAGCTGGGTACCATCTAGTTCTGGTCTCAGGGCCACATAGGCTGAGGTTTGCATTGTCCTCTAATCCCTTGGGCTAATTGTTTCCATGCTTCTTTGTTTTTCTTCCTTCTTTGCTCCAGAGGAAGAGAGACCAATTGTTGCATCTTAGATGGCCACTTGCAACCTTTTAAGACCCCAGTCACTACTCACCAAAGTAGGCTGTAGAACAATGTTTTCGTGTAGTATGTTATGCCAGCTGAGCTTGATGTCCTCTATGACCCTGGTCCTGAGCCCACAGGCCTAGTGGCTTACTCCCTCAGGGTGTTTGTGGCTAAGAAGTTACCATAACTTTGCCCCATTACCTCTATTATATATATGGACATTC